CTATATACATACATTGCGTAAAAGCGTCCTAATGTTAACGTTACACAATTAGAGGCACGTTCAATGAAAAAATGACTCTTTTTAACAGTTTGCCGTTCTCATTTTAGATATGTGATAAAAAGAATATTTTTTTCGTGTAGATTCATTACTTAATTTATTGAACTCGTTGAATAAAACAATTCTATGCGCGTCAATGAAAGAGCGATTGTTTTTCACCGAGGTTCGCATAATATTATTTTATTCAACTCGTTCAATAAATTAAGTAATGACCCCACACTCATTCAATATCCTCTCATTAATAGAACGTTTGTATGGGATGTTGCATTTATCCTGATTTAAAAAGAAATCATATATTAGATTTAATCTAGTTAATATTCTAGTTGATTTTAATTCTTACTCTATGAATTGGAATATTTATAAGTACTTTTGTCATTACTTGTTTCAGAATCAGTTTAAAGAAATGCATTACGTATCTAAAATCTGTAGGTTACTATAAATTACTAAAGAATGACATGGTGGGTATCCCACAACATATAACGTAATGGTAAACCATTCATTTAAAACCATTTACTGATCTATACTTATATATGTACATTATACAATCCATTGCGTGTACATGTATATTTAACGCACAAAGCGCGATGTAGACAGACGATATAAATGTTTATTTTACAAATGGTGAATCCCCTCCCCCACCCCGCCCTAAAAAAAACAAAAAAACTTCCTTTTATTTAATTGTCTACTTTTACTAGTCGATGGATGTCTGGATTCTAAGATTAAGACATAGGGCAGTTACCTTTAAAAATTGTGTAAAGCTGCTGTACTTTTAAAAGCAAAACATATTTAAAGTATTATCACAAAACACACTAAAAGAAATATTTTAACAAAGTATTATTATATTTATGAAAAAAAAACACACAAATATCTGTATACTTTTAAGAAAAGTTATACACAGAAAACATCTATAAACTGTCATTAACTGCTAATAATAACAGCTCCTTCCATAGGCCAAAATAAAAAGCATTCCATAAGAGACGACGCCGCTCACCGGCGTCGTCAATTAAGCAAGCATATATAAAGACGTTGGTTTGTGTTGCATTTGGAACCCCTGAGGTCAATGTCACTGTTACTAAACATAAAAATGGTTTCCGAACAATAAATAGAGTATTGAATGAGTTAGTAAAATGAAAAATGGCGTCTTGTTCGCTTGATTGGACGAAATGATGATACTTAATTATTTACAGTCAGTTGACTATGTCCCTGATATCGTAGAAGAAATGAACTCAAATATACAGATAATTATTTGATATAAACATGTACACGTGAATGTATCATGACATTTTTAAACAGGCTACACGGCCATCGTCATTGACTGAAAGAAATAACAAACGCCCTCTTATACAAAACATATGAGCCGTGTCATGACAAAACCAACATAGTGCGTTTGCAACCAGCATGGATCCAAACCAGCCTGCGCATCCGCGCAGTCTGATCAGGATCCGTACTGTTCGCTATCAGTTTCCCTACTTGTTATAGAGTTGGTAAGCGAACAGCATGGATCCTGATCAGACTGCGCGGATGCGTAGGCTGGTCTGGATCCATGCTGGTCGCAAACACATAACGTTAGAAGCAATATTTTCAGAATTATCTTCCCTTGAACTTAGAATTTTCTTTATAAAATATTTTATTTTTACTCAAACTTCTTTATTTCTAAAGGGAAACAAATGGGAGAGGATATATAAAGGAATGAGCTTGTCTGAAGCTTCACAAAACAGGCTTAAGCATTGTGTTGGTAAATGTGACTCGTGCTTGTAACAGCTTTTGTTGTAAGGAAACATTGATCATCACCGGGGAAAGAACCAATTTCTAGACAGTTATAATAATATTCTTTTTTCATTTCATTTTAGATTATCAGAAGGAAACGCAAATTTAATGGCACTTATGAAAAATCTAAAATAATTGATGCTTACAACATGGTAAAAGACGGTAGCGCATCCATACGCAAGGCAGCCAAGACGTTTAACATACCGTACAGTACACTTAAGAATAAAAGTACATCAAAGGGTACCTTTGGAATCAAGAATGGGGACCAATACCAACTTTCAGTTTGGTTGAGGAACGTAACTTCTCTTCTCATTTGAATAATTTAGCTTACGTCGGCTACGGATATACAAAGTCTGAAATTACTCGACATGCGTCTGATTATGCCATATCTCTGGGTAAAAGGGCGGCAGATAAACCTTTTTTCCTTAAAGTGGTATAAAACTTACCAAAAACGTCACCCGAAATCAGAACTTGTGGTTCCTTTTCTTCTGCCAAATCAAAAGATATTGTGCACCAGTGAAGAGAAAATTTTCAAATTATTATGAACAATTGAATTGTATCTTATTTGAGTATTATGGTTCTGCCAAAACGAATTTTTATTATGGACGAAATGGACCTTGATTTCGAAATAAATGATAAATATGATACTTTAACTGTTATAGGGGCAGGGAATGCATCAGGAGAGAAAATTCCACCTTATTTTGTCATGGTTGAAGGTTTTGATGAGGAAGAGGACAGTACATTTATTAGGAAATCTCAGCTAGTGACAAAAGGATTTAGAAACTATTTAAGTGATCATTTTTTAAATCATGTTCAAATGAAGGAAAAATGAAACCATAATTGTGTTGTACGATGGACATAAGAGTCATTTATCTGTCGATCTAATTGAATGGGCAAAAGAACAAAATGTTGTTTTGTTTGTTTTGCCACCGCAAGAATCATGCATTGTTAAAACAAGAAATGGAGGTGCATTTGAAAGCTGTAGTATCAAGCTATGAAGTTGAGTATAAAAAAACTAATTAATAAGAAACATAAATTTAATTCAAATTTAGATGTTGTAGCTGTTGCTAAGAAATTTTATGACAAAGTGGTTAACCCTGTCGCACTCCAATCTTGGTTTGAAAATGCTGGGGTATACCCTTCACGGGATGCAAGAACCGTACTTGAAATTTTAGAAAGTCTACATGCGACATCTGAAGCCATTTAAAAAGGTAGCGTAGTATTGATTGAGTTAAGGTCAGTTGTTTGTTCATGTGGATATTTGAATGTTACAGTATGTGAATTCATAACTTTTGCGTGTTATGTAATATATAATGATGTTATGTCTATTCACAGCTTTTGGGGTATTGTTAATAATTTTTTAGAATTGTTTTTTAAAATACCTTTCACGCCATAATATGTATTTGAATGATGGACATCAGTGCCAATAGGAAAAAGTATTGAAATGGTGCACAATATCGATTCTTGTCATTTATTAAACAATGAAATCATATTGGCTATACATTTATTAGCTGATATTAATTTCATATAGTAACGAAACGTTTTTATCAAAACAATCTTTTTGGCTTTCTCATATTTTGTTTGTTTTGTTTGGCTGGTTGTTTTGTTTCATTTTTTTAATATGACTAAATTTACTATTTTGTTCATTCTGAATGGATCTACATGTATAACCATATTACGTTTTCGTATTTTTCACTTTTGTCTTGTCTCACTTCTTTTTTCTAATTCAAGCCAATACACATAATTAAAGTGGATGTCTTTAGAGTTGTAAAATTTAAAAAGGAAAGGTCTGTAATAAACAAAACAAAAAACAACATTTTTTATTAACATAGGATTTTTTCATCTTGTGGTTTCAAAATAAATCATATGACACTTGTTGCTACCGCCGCTCATGATTTTGTTTTTCATACCACTCGATGAAAATAAATTGTTAAAAACACTTGAATATCATCTATATATTTTGGCATGCGTGGCAATTTGTATTATAAGATATGAAAATACATGAAATGATACGTTGTATTTGTACTATATATAATATGAAAATACTTGAAATGATTACGTTGTATTTGTACTATAAGATATGAAAATACATGACATTAATACGTTGATTTTGTACTATAAAATATGAAAATACATGAATTGATACGTTGTATTTGTACTATTAGATATGAAAATACATGACATGATACGTTGTTTTTGTACTGTTAGATATGGAAAATAACATGAAATGTTGCGCTCGACAAATTTTATTTTGAACGCTTCTTGGTTTATAAATATACAGAAATTCTTTAGTGATACCTCATGCTATATGTATTTTCTCTGATTTCATTGCATATGTAAAATTACGATCGCAAAGGTTACAAATTTGTATAATTTGAATAAAACATAATCAGTATTGTATAGAGATGCCGCATTTTAAACTGTGCCATGTTTGAAATATGTTTCAGTTTCAACATTAGTTAGTTTCTAAATAAAATACTTGTACTGATGTTCTGATTCTGTGTTTTTATTGACTATCTTTCAAACATATAGTACGTATATGGTAATGCAATACTTTTCTTTTTTATCAATGCAAAACAAACACAGAGCTTACTTAATCTTATTTTTAATTATACCCCCACAAACAAAGTTAGCGTAACTAAAAAAAGGTTTCCGGGGCAATTTAAATTTGGGGTTTGGAAAAGAGATCTGTTTAATTTAAACTTGGGATTAACAACCTGTATGAAGGGCCTGGGTTGGTATTTGGGATTTGAACCCCCTGGGTTAAAAGTCAAAATCAACCCCCTTTCTAAAAAATTTATAAAATTTAAAGGTTTTTCCGGGCAATAGCCAAAAGTTAAAAAGAAAATTGACCCCCCGGGGAATTTCCAAAAGCAAAACCAATCCGGCTCTCCATATTAAAACTTGCTTTAAAACAAAAATGTGTTAAGTATTTTCATTGCTTTAAATCTAATACTTTTTTATCCGGAAAAAATGTTTTTTTTTTTTTACGACGAAACCCTTTATCTTGGGGTTTCCAAAAGGGGAAACCAACCAAAGGGTTTTTCCAAAATTGGTAGCTAGGGTACATCATTTATCATCACCAGTGAAAGAACCAATTTACAGACAGTTATAATAATATTCTTTTTTTTCATTTCATTTTAGATTATCAGAAGAAAACGTAAAAGTTAAGGGCCCACTTATGAAAAATGTAAAATAGTTGATGCTTACAACATGGTAAAAGACGGTAGCGCATCCACACGCAAGGCGGCAAAGACGTTTAACATACCGTACAGTACACTTAATGATAAAGTACATCAAAGGGTACCTTTGGAATCAAGAATGGGACCAATGCCAACTTTCAGTTTGGTTGAGGAACATAAACTTTCTTCTCATTTGAATAATTTAGCTTACGTCGGCTACGGATATACAAAGTCTGAAATTACTCGACATGCGTCTGATTATGCCATATCTCTGGGTAAAAGGGCGGCAGATAAACCTTTTTCCACAAGGTGGTATAGATCTTACCAAAAACGTCACCCGGAATCAGAACTTGTGGTTCCTTTTCTTCTGCCAAATCAAAAGATATTGTGCACCAGTGAAGAGAAAATCTCAAATTATTATGAACAATTGAATTGTATCTTATTTGAGTACCATGGTGCTCCTCAACGTATTTTTATTATGGACGAAATGGATCTTAAGTTCGAAATAAATTATAAATATGATACTTTAACTGTTATAGGGGCAGGGAATGCATCAGGAGAGAAAATTCCACCTTATTTTGTCATGGTTGAAGGTTTTGATGAGGAAGAGGACAATACATTTATAAGGAAATCTCAGCTAGTGACAAAAGGATTTAGAAACTATTTAAGTGATCATTTTTTAAATCATGTTCAAATGAAGGAAAATGAAAACATAATTGTGTTGTACGATGGACATAAGAGTCATTTATCTGTCGATCTAATTGAATGGGCAAAAGAACAAAATGTTGTTTTGTTTGTTTTGCCACCGCAAGAATCATGCATTGTTAAAACAAGAAATGGAGGTGTATTTGAAGCTGTAGTATCAAGCTATGAAGTTGAGTATAAAAAACTGATTAATAAGAAACATAAATTTAATTCAAATTTAGATGTTGTAGCTGTTGCTAAGAAAATTTATGACAAAGTGGTTAACCCTGTCGCACTCCGATCTTGGTTAGAAAATGCTGGGGTATACCCTTCACGCGATGCAAGAACTGTACTTGAAATTTTAGAAAGTCTAAATGCGACCTCTTAACCCATTTAAGATGGTTACAGCGAACTATTGATTGAGTTATGGTCAGTTGTTTGTTCATGTGGTCATTTTATTGTTAGAGTATATGAATTCATAAATTTTGCGTGTTATGTAATATATAATGATGTTATGTCTATTCACAGCTTTTGTGGTATTGTTCATAATTTTTTAGAATTGTTTTTTAAAATACCTTTCACGCCATAATATGTATTTGAATGATTGACATCAATGCCGATAGAAAGTATTGGAATGATGCATAATGTCGATTCTTGTCATTTAAGTATATTGGCTATGCATTTATTAGCTGATATTAATTTCATATAGTCACGAAACGTTTATATCAAAAAATTCGTTTTGGCTTTCTCATATATTTTTGTTTGAATGAATGAATGTTAGTTTGTTTCTTTTTTGATATGACTAAATTTACTGATTTGTACATTCTGAATGGATCTACATGTATTAACATATTACGTTTTCCGTATTTTTACTTTGTTTTGTCTCACTTCGTTCTTCTAATTCAAGCAAACACACATGGTCTTTAGAGTTGTGCCATGTTTGAAATATGTTTCAGTTTCAACATAAGTTAGTTTCTAAATAAAAAACTTAAACTGATGTTATGATTCTGTGTTTTATTGACTATCTTTCAAACATACAAGTACGTATATGGTGATGGAATACTTTTCTTTTTATCAATGCAAAACGCAAAGCTTATTATCCCCCGCCGAACAGGCGGCAGGGGATATAGAAATAGTCTCCGACCTTCCGTCCGTCCGTCCTTCCGTCCGACATTTTTGTGCGGAGCATATCTCAAAAAGTATTTGAGGTGGATAGACCTTCATTGAGGAGGAGTGCAGTGCACAAGAATGATAACTTTACTATGCATAATTTTTGAGTAATTACCCTAAAGCTTTGTTATTTTTTGAAATTATTTTTTGTCCAGAGCATAACTCAAAAGGCCTTTGAGGTATCAACATGAAACTTCATAGGTGCATAGATCTCACTCAGGAGGTGTGCAGTGCACAAGAATGATAACTCTACCTTTCATAATTTTTGAGTTATCGCCCTTTGTTATTTTTCATACTTAATTTTTCACCTGAGTGGAGCATTACTTAAAAAGTGTTTGAGATGTCAACATGAAATGTCATAGGTAAATAGATCTTATTGAGGAGGAATGCTGTGCACAAGAATGATAACTCTTTGCTATATAATTTTTGAGTTATGTACCTTTGTTTCTTTTCATACTTTTTTGTCCGGCACTTATCTCAAAAAGTATTTGAGGTATCAACTTGAAACTTCATAGGAGGAGGAGGATGGATCTCATTGAGGAGGAGTGCAGTGCACAAGAATGATAACTCTATCCTGCATAATTTTTGAGTAATTGCCCTTTGTTATTTTTCAAAATTAATTTTTGTCGAGAGCATAACTCAAAAAGCTTATGAGATATCAACATGAAACTTTATGGGTGCATAGATCTCACTCAGGAGATGTGCAGTGCACAAGAATGATAACTCTACCTTTCATAAATTTTGAGTAATTGCCCTTTGTTATTTTTCATACTTAATTTTTCACCTGAGTGGAGCATAACTCAAAAGTGTTTGAAATGTCAACATGAAATGTCATAGGTGGATAGATCTTATTGAGGAGGAATGCTTCGCGCAAGAATGATAACTCTTTGCTATATAACTTTTGAGTTACAGCCCTTTGTTCTTTTTCATACTATTTTGTCCGGAGCTTATCTCAAAAAGTATTTGAAGTATTAACTTGAAACTTCATAGGTAGATAGATTTTACTGAGGAGGGGTGCAGCACACAAGAATGATAACTTTCCCTGCATTATTTTTCAGTTATTGCCCTTTGTTATTTTCAGTCATCAATATTGACATAGGTTTCAAATCTGTAATCACTTCAGCCGTCAGTTTTTATTACCAAAATACTTCTTAAAATGGAATTATTCTGCTCTACTACATAAACATTCTTCCAATGAGCAAACACATTCGGCGGGGGATGGCCATGTTGACATGGCTCTTGTTTAATCTTACTTTTGATTTTAACCCCACTGATAATTTTCGAGAAGTTATGATTGTTGCACATAGTATTCTTGAGGAAAAAGATCTAAAAATAACTAACACAACTGCTTCCGAGCTTAAGTAACCCTTGAAAAATAGTAAGGATTTTCCGTTGCTCTCCCGCATTCATCCAACCTTCTTGAAACTCTTTGATTGATGATAAAACATCCGAGAGTTCAGGGTAGCTAAAATATCACCCATTGATTATAAATTTACCATTTGACTTCTACAAAGGAGATCAAACATCCATACTGATGTAACGTGTAGGCCTACTTTACATTGGTTAATTTAAAGCATTTTTGAAAATGTAACTCTATATACATGTACATCCCATATGGCATATATTACATGTATATCAAATAAAATAGATCTGTTTCTCCGTAACAGTCGACTACCCTCTCCTGCTCTATACTCTTACATTTAATAATGATAACAATTAATAAAAGCATTTATAAATATAAACATCTTTATATGTTCCACTAAATAAAGCTAGGCTTTATATTTATGCCCATGTGCCTTTGTAGTTTTATTTCTGTCGAAAATTAGGAAGGAAATTCACAACACAGTTTTGGATTAAACATGTCTGGCATAAGAGCATGCCAGAGGGATTTATTTGGTTAGATTTTTTTCTTTCGTTTTTTTCTAAACAAACAGACGTTTTCTTTAAATATGTATATTATTTTTTATTTCCTATGTTGGTAAGGTAATCTCCGTCTAGTGTTAAGCACCTTTCCCGTCGTGTATACAAGTCAGCTGTGTATACTTCTGGGATATTAAACATAGAATGACGAGGGCATAAGAAATAAACGATAGTGCATGATTATAAAAGATTACTTACATGTGAATAAGTTATTATTAATAACAGCTAAAATGGCCGCCGCACATGCGCATTGCTTGACAGTGCGGTACATAAATGTCGCGTTGAAAAACAGCTAAAAACTATAATCAGAATTAAATTTAAAACCGATATTTGAAATGCAATTACTGGCCCAATTTAAGTTTAAAGCATTGAAATGCTTATCATTTTAAAGTCATTTTGCACGACAAAATAAATTATTACGAAAAAACGGCGAGAGTGAACGAATGATAAGGAAATTTTTATACACTTAGTTGGTACAGACTTATAACAAATGAGAAAAATATATTTCCGTTCCACTCATGTAAGAATACGTCAGTGTAGTCCCTTTATGCAACTATGTTAACATTAATATGTCATAGTTTTCATTCGGTTGAAAATTGAAAGTGAAAACTTGTAATCCCTCGCAATAAGTAACAGCTAATAACCCCTATCCTTGTTTTTTTTTATTTTATTTTATTTATTTATTTTTTTTTTTTTTTTTTTTTTTTGTATTGGCTTGTATATTGGCTTGTATATTTCATGTACGTAGGTCTCAATAGCGTTCACACAAATTATGCATTTTGGCTCAAAACGGCTGGTACCGGTAAAAATTTTATACGTTGACTTGTGAAGAAAGCTTGATCATTTCTCAGAAATTACAATGTCCACAGCTCTGATGTTTGTTGTGTAGAATGATTTTGTCGTACTCTGAAAAAGTTACTTAATTCATGCCCGTTGGGTAAAAAAGCAACACATTGAATGTGCACTTCTATTACAATTTTGTATGAGGTCTTGGTACTTGACATTTGATGATCACATTAGCTTCAGTTTTAACAAACGGAACAGTACGTGAGACACTTTAAATATCAAAATTTGAACTTTTTGATAATTGTTTTAATTCAATTTATTTCTGTTTGTCAAAATATGAAATGTTAATTATCAATGCACTGTTCCAACATAAAACTATCTTTATTAAAAATGTAAGTTCACTGAATTCTTCATTGGTATATTATATTGTAATTTTGAAATGTTCACGTCCGAAAAAAATAGCTACATGCATCTAAGTCATGCACTTCTTCTCACATCGTTCTCGGGAAGGGAAGACGTTTTCACCTAACCGGAAGTACGGCCCTGTACAATCTTTAAACCGGAAACATGCTTGATTTTCCGCATTGTAAGTCCAGAGATCAAATACTTCGAAACAGAACGGCTGTTCTTCAACAGGCTTTAGGCATTCTGAAATGTAAAGAAGAACTTGGAAAACGATTCAGTTAATCAGGTAAAAAATATTTAGACATATTTTAATAAGGACATCAGTCATTATTATTTCTAGCGAGTTTTTTCTTAAGTAAGATACCAAGGACATAAAATACTAAATTTATTGAACTCGTTGAATAAAATAATATTTTGCTCGCCAAACTCGTAATATGATTTATTCAACTCGTTCAAAAAATTTAGTATTAAACCTATCCTCCATATTTACATTTGCTATATAAATTTATCTAATTTCGGATCATACACTAGTATATTACAATTACCAGCAACATCCATATATAATTCTTTCCTGTTTTGTTGTCATGTCTGATACTTTATACTATCAATATTACTATTCATTGTATTACATACTTTCCATTAAACACCAATTCACTTAAATATTATCAAAAAACCAAACATGTGTCTTTCCAAAAAAATAAAATATTATTTGATATTTAATTTGAAATATTATTTAATTGATAAGAAAAATTAAAAACAAACCTGGGTCCATAGACAAACTTGTAGGCACACATTTCACTATCAGAATCACTGTCATCGCAAAGCTCAACATTTTAGTTCAACAGCCGATTTTATTCTGACCTAATAGTACAATATGGTCACAGGTTGATAAAAACAACAACATATTATACCGTATGCCTTGAAGATACGTGAAACAGTTGACATTGTCATGGAAACATATTTTATGACTATACATGTATTTGGCATTCATATGTTGTGAATGCTAGAGTATAGGCTATGAATTGCAACTCAGCAATTAATTCTTTTCCGAAGATTGTCGGAAATTTAGAGCCAGCGGCAGGGCTTTAGGTGAGTAAAAAAGCAGAAAAGAATTACAGTCGGGAAAATATATGATTGCTTACACAGAAGTATTAGCTTAGACAAAATGAAATTGTTATAAAATGTCCCAGGTATAAATATTCAATATTTTAATAACAATTTAAAAGGTTTATAAAAAAAATCACAAAATTTACTTAATGTTTTATCACTATTAAACAACTATCCGTAAGGGTTACATCAGCCCTTTTTGACACGCTATAGGTACATGTAGCTTAAGGAAGTCTATTAAATGCTATGTTAAGGTAGTCTATTAAAACACTTTATGAATGCACATATTTACTTATTTGAATAAAATTCACCAAAATTATTACACATCTGCGGACATGCTGAATTCAATGTGAACATTTTAAGAGCCATATAACCATGCATAGTCATGTTTGAGCTGTTAAGATAATAACTTGATCACTTAGATGATTTACTTAAACATTAAACCGATAACAAAAATGTTGTTCATATTTATATAGATTATAGAACTTATGAAGGGCCACTACTGTCACGCAGAAACGTAAAGAAAACGGAAACTTTAT